TTTTTAAATGGTTTTTTCTCAAAAGCCCACTCTACTAATTGTCAGATATGTTACAAACAGCCCACAGGAAAAACTAAGGGAAAATCCTTTCGATTTGATCAGAAGTCCAGAGTCAGGACAGATTAAAGGTTCATTTACATTGATAACTTGGGGCGAGGGTTTCGCTTGTGTTTCTACAGGACAAGGACTGAAGTGAATGCCAGCAAAGCACATGTAACCTTATCGGGTGCAGACGCCAGTGGACGTAGACCCGAGAAGCAGAGAGGCAAGCACGCAGATGAAGGCAGACAACAACGCTGCAGACGTCTCGTCAGACAATGATTGATCACCCAGAGACTTGGGGTTTTTTCTGAGAAATCAAGTGTTGTTTGGGTGTTGCTGCATTGCGGGGTTTCTCACAGAGGGTGGGGACATGGACATGGGATTCAGACAGATAGCGTTCATGTGCTTCATTCTTTCACCTGTTGCTTTGGGCAACAGGACAGATTTTCCCATGAGACAACTAAGGGAAAAAGTGTGGGAGACTTTGGCAAAAGCAGCTGGTCTGGACAGCATTTGCCTGACCCATTCGAAACCAGAGAAACCATTTTCAACATGCTTGGTAGGTGTGCCAGTGGAGGGATGGTCAGTCCCAGGGGACATCCTTCCAGGGGTTCTGAAGTTTCTTTCAGACCCTATGGAGGGATGGCATGTTTGGACACAGTTCCTTCCTATGGCTCACTTTGAACCTCTGGATTTGGACATTTTGGGTCAACAAAAATGAAATGGTGCATCAAATTTAATTCATCAGGAGTGGCAAAGACAGATAATCATACAATAGATGTCACTCCGAATCAGCCTTTTTATAAAAATGCGTCATCTTGGTGCAATCATACCAAAATGACAAGCAAACCATCCTTTCAACATCCAGCCACTTTACCGAAGGGAATGTTTTTCATTTGCGGGGACAGAATTTGGCCTGCTATCCCTGCAAAAATCAAGGGTGGTCCATGCAGCATTGAAAGATCTTTTGTTAACACACAGCAAAACCTTGATAAGAGAGCAAGGAGAAAAAAAATCTGATGAATGAAATGATCCAAATTGTGACAATGATAATGTTAATACCAAGAAAAAAGGCTCAGAAAAACTGAGTGGTTCTGCTTTCACAGCAGGTGGCATCAAAAAGAGCCTTGGTGCAGTTGGATCAAAAGAGGTTGTGGGCAGAGTAAAGATGCCCATGTCATTTCTTTTGCATTGAATGATTTGTTAGCTAGCAGTGAGAAATGAGAACAAAACAGTAATTGAACATCTATTGTAAACACATGGACACACGAGTGAAAATTTAAAGAGGTATCAGAGGACCAAACACACCTGGAGAAAAATTAAATCATAGGTAGATGGTGTGTTCAATTTGTTTCATTTTTCACAGTTGTAGAAAAGAGATTTTGAAAATAGTTGTACGTAATTATAAAATATTGTAATTCTTCTGATGTTTGTGCTGTCCTTGCCTCAGTGCATGGGGCAGACCATGGACAAAGTTGTCAAAGAGGTGTTCTTGATTCAAAAAGGAAAGGATCCCTTGAACAATATAGTTCAAATTATGATGATGATGTTTCTACCTGGGACAAGTCTCGGAGAATTGCAGTAGCAATTTTCTCATTCCAAGCAGCATCAGGGGCGGCCTTGACACAGTTGGATCATATAGCATGTTGGTTGAGGAAACACAGTCGTGCCATTTCGTTTGCACTGAGTGACATGTTAACAGACATCAACAGTGCAAGGCAAGCAGTGCTTCAAAACAGGGCGGCAATTGATTATTTGCTGCTGACACATGGGCACGGATGTGGGGAGTTTGAGGGAATGTGCTGCGTGAACTTGTCCGATCATTCAAAATCCATTCATGAAAATATAAAACAAATACAAAGTAGTATTAGCAAATTGAACAAAGTTACAGGGTCCTGATGGGATGATTTGTTTAGCTTTTTTGATATCTCACCATTGTGAAAAGAACTTTTGAAAATAGCATTTTATATTCTTATAGGACTTGTAGTTCTTCTGCTTGTTCTACCATGCATTTTCGTGTGTATTTAAAAGACCTTGAACAGCATGATAAAGCGGGTGTTTCAGGTTCAAACAGAGAGGGGAGATGTCGGAACTCAAAATGTCCCTCAGACATTTTTAGAGGTTCCAGGCCTTGGTCAGAAGCATTTTAGACCCTGGCAAACAGCAGAAAACAGCTGTGATCTTGAGTTTGAACCATGGAATGAATTACCAACTTTGAAGGTGGAACAAGCAGTCACAGAGGGTTAGATGGTATAGTAAAAGTAGTCACAAATTAGAGGGTAAAATTTTTTAGTATTGTACAGGGGGGTTTTAACACCTGTACAGGGGGGTTTTACTTTGTACAGGGGGGTCAGGAGTTCTAAGATGGAGGAAAGTGGGCCTGAACCTGTTCTTCCTCCTTCTTCTTCCTTACCTCCATGTTCTTGGTGATGTTGGCATTTTTCTGTTGGTTTAGGCTGGGGACACACTATTCAACGTAGATGATAGATATTGGCACATTATTGTAAATATAGTACACGTAATTTCTTGTATATAATGTTTGTACCATCCCACTGAGGGGCAGAGCCCCGCACACTGCCCTGCAGGACAGACCTGCGGCAGGGCAGCAGAACATGTTATAGATAAGCAAAAATAAACAACCTTGAAACCAGCACAGACGAACTATGGCTTCTTCTTTGGCAACGGGGCAGAAAGACAGAGACTTTCTACAATCTCGGAATCACCAATACCCACAGATTCCGACACACACAGAGAGCTTTGGTGCCTGTGCTGCTGCCCTGAGCACAGTTAGAACTGGACAACATTTGTTAGGCTTTGCTGCTGCTGCTGCTCAGAATTACTGAGACCACAGAACGAGGTAATTTTTGTGCTGGTTGTAAAGCTCTGAGAAGCACTTTAAAGTTACTAACTGGGAAGCAGTTCTGTCTTAGAGTACTGGAGAGATTCTTCCTTCTTCTGTCTTAGGGCACTGGAGAGAGTCTTCCTTCTTCTCAGATTGGGGGAGCAGTAACATAGCATTAGATCTTCACTTGCAAATGGATGAATTCACAGTCTACATTGTGACCTGTCCCTGCCCCAAGGCTCAATGTTTTTGAATCACTAGGAAAAAAAAAATACATAAACACACCAAAATAGTTTTCTCTCCCTCCTGCTCATAGATGACAACATCCACAGGATGACAGATATCTGCCTACAGCCACAGTCAGCCTGACATAGTATCTCCTAGAGCATTTGAACCACACCACACACCTTTATGTATTCCTTCTGAAGGACCCCAATATAGCCCATCAGAGGACAGTGTCTAGCAATAAGACAGCTGTCCCATGAGTCCTGCCTAATTTATTGAAGAAAAGAAGCATGGATAAGTACTAAGCATCAAGGGGTCCATTCCTTGTCAGCCATAAAACTGACAACTTCTTGCAACTCTTAATATCCCCCCAGAAGAGGCTCAAAGCACTAACTTTCCAGAAATATAAGAATATACTGTACTACTATTATTCCAAATGGAGAAGTGCATCAGAAGCATATCTCTCAGCTCATCTTAATCCCTAGAGCATGAAGAGGAAAAGGAAGACTATTCTCCATTTTAGTTCAAAACAACTTCAAAAATTGGATGTTGTTTAGCAACAGACCAGGAGGAAAAAAATGTAAATCCCTGCTCCAAGTGGATTCCAACAAAAAATTTGAAGCTACTAGTCAGGACAGAGCATTATGATTTTACTGCAATTAAGTTTTATTTTGTTAAATCCAACCCACAAAAAACCTATCACCTTTAAATGGAACTTTGCTTAAGAATGGAATTGACAACAAATACTGCTACAGATACAAATAGAAGATGGAATCTGGGGGGGAAGAGAAGCAAAAAAGTTTAAAATTCCCCAGAATGTTATACTCTCACACTGGGTCTTCATTAATTATTTCTCAGTGCATAGTCCTCTTTTGACTACACTAAGCTTAACCAATTTTTCTGCCATAGAGAAAAACCTCAAGTCTCTCATTTCATAGGATGGCTACATCATACAGAAGCACTCATATTTAGACCACTACCTACTAAGTTTGTCTTTAATATAACCCAAGGAAAGAATAGTCTGCAAGTACTGACTGGATGTTTCAGTCCCAGCAAAGCTAGAGGGAGGTTTGTAATATTTTTGAAGACTTGTAAACTAAGAATTTATGAACCAGTAGGAATCAAAGTTTAAATGGGATGTTAAGAAAAAAAGAAAAAGTAATAAATCCAGCTCTATTTCTAGAGCTTGCTAAGAGCAATCACTGGTTACTGAGAGGAAGCAGACATCATACGCAATCTTCTTAAAAGAATGCCAGCTTTTTTTAAACAGAAATTATTCAAGTGTTGTTTAGCTATCTCTGCCTCCATAATTTCTGAGGTTCTCAGTTATAATTTATAAAGGCATAGAAGCTCACAGAAAACTGGCAAGTATCTGAAGAAATTGATGGCCAGTTAGGTATATTTACTCTTCCTTGCACTGCTGTCTTAGCTGCATTGATGGAGACAAGGATGTACCAGAATAAAAAGGTGCACATAGGCAGAAGCTTTAGTTTTGCGTATTAAGCTGTTCCCTTGAAAGTACAGTTCCCTCACCCTCACAAAAGAATCTGATCTCAGAATATTTGAAATGGGACAAAGAGGGTTCTCTTTTTGTTTGTGTTTTTTTTGGGGGGGGTCTGATTTCTTTTCTTTTTACTTTAAAACCATTTTACCAGCACTTAACATCCTGAAAAATGTACTTCTGAGAATTTTTAATGTATGTTGCTTCTCTTTCTTTGTCATAGGTGAATATGTGAGTAATCAATGCCTTTTCTTCCTTACATTAGTGGATAAAAGTCAGTCTTCACTCAGAGTTTCTGCCCAAGAACTACTATGTTGCCTGTCATGGCAAAGTAACTATTTGGTCTAAGGCAAGGAAGGCTAAAGTAAAATGCAGTTTAAAGGAAGGAAGTCAGAGCAGATAAAAAGATTTATTAGTGTAGGATGCTTGTGAGAAACAAACCCCACTCCTCAGTTAAAATTTAAAGAAAATTTAATAAAGGACAATAGGGGACAGTCAGAAAAACAAAAGGAACACCACTGGGTGCTTAGCCAAAGCTAGAGGCACACCAGTCAACAAAGCAACACTCCTTATATATCCTGGCTATTGCATCAGCTTAATACATATTCATAAACTGTCATACATATTCAAACATTTTAAGATAGTTCCTCTTCCATCCCTCCCCTTCAGAGCATGTGCAATCATCCTAGTCCTGGTCATCTGCTACTTTTAGATACATTTAACAGGCCTCGATTCTTTCACTGGTTAAATGTTAACATTACAACAACTGCCAACCAACATTAGCATCACAAAACAACAATCAGATTAAAAGAACTCTAAGCTTTAGTAAAACTTCTTTTACAAAGGTCAACATTATAAAACACATAGTATTCATTCTAACAATTGCGAAAGACAACACAGAAATATATTTATCACAATGCTTATCCACAAGAAGGCAGTCCAATGGTGTTTCCAATTAGACTGCCAGTCCACTTTCTGTACATTATTGTCTTGGAGTTGTGAAAAATGCTTTTGTGATTCATGTCAATCGGCAATTGAATCAGCAAATGCTTGTATCTGCTGTGTCGAAAATGGATGCGTTCCTTGGGATAGCTACAAAGAATGGTTTTGAAACATTCTATAGCCAAATAAAGCATCAAAATAGGAGTAGTGAAGTGAAGAGATGAGGTAGCAAGATGACTGATGCTTAGAATAAAATAGAGGATGTTGTGGTAAAGCTAAGGGGATTGCAACAAAGCAACTAAATGCTTATGTATAACAAAAAGCTTAACAAAATCATAGAGCAGACACCAGTGAAGGGGCCTCCCTCCAGACGACCACAAGAAGGACAGGAAGCTAACGACCACCTGGAAATATTATGAAATTGCTGATTCCAGCTAATTGATATTTGCTAATTCGGACTAACCAAGCACATTGGAAAATGCTTTGTAAGCTCAAAAACAGTATATATACTTACTGAACTTGCAAGTGGTGTGTGCCGTGAGTGGAGTGGGGACTCCTCAGCCACCCAGCACTGCTTGCTTGCTTTCTTTAAAATAAAAGATATAGAAATAAAATTCAGTTTGGCTATTGAAATTTTATATCAGGGTGTTTTTTCTATTCCCTGATTGTCTGCTCTATGCCCAGAAATGGTTGCTGCAGGTTTAAGGTAGGTCCCGGGGAGGGGGAAGCCTTGGGGCTCCTGAGTGGACTTTTTAAAAGCCTCACTTCCCAGGTGTCCTTCCTGCCGGGCAGACTGGGTTTTTAAGGGGGTTTCTTTGGGTTTTTTTTTTTTTTTTTTTTTTTTTTTTTTTTTTTTTTTTTGCTTAGCTAGATTGGGTTTTGTTAGCTTAAGCAAGAAGTTTGGGGTTTTTGCCTTTCCCTGGCCTTGGAGACTTGCAAGAGCAATCCTTCAGCGGCTTCTTTCTTGAATTTGACAGTTTGGTTTTGGTCCGAGATCCGAGATCAGAGAGAAAAATCGTTGGGAGACGAGTCGGCCAGGGACCTGCGGGAAGGAGACCTGGATCCTGGCCCCAGACCTCAGAAAAGCCGATCCAGCAAGAGAAAGGACACCAAATTTGCTGTGAAGAGGGGACCAACACCAGCGATTAACCAGGTTCTCATCTTTTTTGCTCGAGCTGGGCCGTGAACCTTTTGTTATGCTTTTTTTTCCCTTGAGACAGGAGCCAGGGCCATTTATTTTTCTCCACACCACGGTGCCAGCCATTGTGTTTTGGGTTTTTTTTCCTTTCCCTGGCATTTTGCGGTTTTTTTTTTTGTTATGGGGGGTGTGTGTGTGGGTAAGGTCTGCCAATTCAATATCTAGCATTTATTAGGTTTTTTTTCCTGTGCTGTGTGGGCACTGTCAATAAACACTTGAATTTTTTTCACTTTCATCCACTAGTATTAATTTCTTATTGGCAGAAAGCGATTGTTGGAACCCTTTGTTAAAGGATATACTCATTCCAGAGTGTTTTTCTCATAAACTTGTCTCTAAACCGAGACAATTATATATGCTGAGGTGTTTATGACAGTAGATCAATCAATAGTATTTTGCAACTGTTTAACCTGAGAAAAAATACCTAGAAGTTATTTTAAAACATTAAGTTTTCATCAGATTTGATTTTATTTTTTATATTAGAAGAAATACAATCCTCTAAAGTTTGGGAAAGCTTTTTTACTTTGAACTTCTAAATCTTCTAAATCAGTTCAACATGTTTAATTTCAAGAAATCCCTTTCATGTTATCATTTGACTTGGAATAGTGATGCTTTTATCCCTAGTAACTCAGTAGTGAGCTAAATTGTCCCAACAGATATCCCAGCACAAGGATCCTTATAAGGAAGAAATAATTCATGCACAGGGTCTATTTTCAATAAATGTAAACTAAATGTGCTCATTCCTTTAGAACATACAGAGCGGCCTTATGTTTTGGTTTGAAAGCAAAACTAGTGAGAAACTTTAAGTCAGAAATATAATTTATTGGGAAAAGGGAAAAAGACAAAAATACATGCAATGATACAAAAGGAAGACTACTGACAAACTCAGAATACAACCTGACACCCCTCTGGCCAGCGTGCTGGTAGCAGTCTAAATTGGAGTGGCTGCAGTCCTCTTGGAATGGTGGATGTGGTTGCTGTGTCTTCTCAGAAACCTGTGGAAAGGCTCCTTCTCTGTCTAGAAATTCATGGATTTATCTAGGTGGGAATGCTTAGCTCCTTCCCCCTGGGCGGAGCATTTCACAATGGGCTGATGTTATTCTGAGTCACGAGGTGTGTCCTTAATCACCTGTTAAACAGAACTGGCTCTTGGAGAGTGTTATCTCTGAGTCATGTGGCAAGACATTGATGGGCCTATTAACAGGAGATAAGGAACACTGCTCAGAGGCAACTCCTACTCCGATGGTAATAGGAAACATCTTGGTCTTCAATCTTGGACACCTTAATTCACACGTCTCTGAGACTGGCACACATAATGCCCTTTCCTTCAGTCCATCTTAGAATGACTTCATACATAAAGTATCAAGCCACAAAAAGGCAGAGGACACAAATAAATGTCAATAATTAGAATGTTTGTATCTTTTCATTATTGTAGAATACTGTTAAGGCACACTTGGTATTTTAAGTACATTTTCCTAAATGCTTTTTAGATTCTAGCCTGACACCAGTTTCAGAATCATAATGAAATTTAATTAGAATAAAAACCCGTACTTTAAAAGGGCTCATTCACTGCTGCTGGTTTATTTTCACTTTAACAGAGAGACTCTAAAGAGCTGGCAATATTTATCCTAGAGTTTTGGTTTAAAAGGCTACTAAAAGCCAAACATTCTATTTTAAACTCCTTAAATTAAAAACATATGATATATTTCTGAACATAACAAATGAAGCTATTTAAGAAAACATTCTAAACCCAAAGATATTGACCAAGCACATTTTCTTCATTGACCAATCTTAAGAAAATACCTTCATCAACACTCATCACTATTATTCATTTTTCCTGTGTTTAAGTTTCCAGTCACTACACTGCAAAGTATAGTAATATTCACTACCAGTATCTACAGCAGTTTTTTTCAAAATTTCAAATGATAAATCACAGAATACATTTGGAATCCATAAAACCTATAGCTCTTATACGAACTGCTTAGTTATCTAAAAAACCCCATAAATAGGTTAAAAAGGATTCATTTAAGTATTTTTAAATCACCTGTTTTAGCAGACAGACCCATCAGTCATTCTGTATTTGATTATTTTAGTGCTAACACCGTGAATAATGTTCTTGTGTTTTTTGTTAAAGCTCTGAGCCCTCTAACCTCCCTGAGTTGCTTCTTCTTAATCTCTAACTCCCTACTGTTCCAGCACATGAATCTGTACTCTTATCCAGCTTAAATGCCATGTCTCCTCTTAATGATTGGTTGTTCTTGTTTACATATTTCCAGATAATTGTTACCACCAGAGTGACTTGTATTTGCCAGCAGTTGTCTGCAATCAATTTTTCTACATTTAGACCATTGTTTGTATGCATGCAAGTGGCCTAATGTTTTGAAACATTACTAAGAATCAATTTCACCAAATGGTGGTCAAGTATTTTTTCAAGCAGCTCACAGAACAGGCCTTGATTATGTGTAGGAAGCTAACCAAGTCAAGGTTGCTGGTTTGCAGCTGTTCCTTCCTCTCTGCATAGCTCTGGAATACAGACCTTCCAAAACCATGAGGCAGAAAAAGAGGAATGCTTAGCTCAGCAAGGTCTTTGCACAAGAATATCCATTGAAAGATAAAACTAACTATAAATTTAAATTTTGAGTATCTTCCCAGGAATTAACACATCTTCCCACTGGCTTTCAAAAAGTTAAAGGAACTCAGGGGGCAATACTAGTGGGACAAAGGAACTTCAGACTCAGATTATAATTTGCAAATAATTATGGAGCTACATCAATGCAGAGGGAGCCCAAGGAGAAGCATACCTGGTACTTATGGCAGAATTTCAAGATAAAAGATGCCATTACTTCTTCATGTACCCCCTAGCCCAGAAATGAAAAATGCTTCAAGAGCATCCTGTGTAGCTATTAATATTCATACTTAATGGGAAGTAGACATTCCTGCTGAGTAGTAGATGGATTAAAAAGGTAGATCTCAATTTTCACTATAAAGCTTCTTTATTATGACAGAAAGAATTCCTCCAGTGGCATTAGTGTGTTATTTTTATTTCAGCAGCTGGTTAAGAAAAGCCATTACCCAATTTAGAAGAGCATTTTTACTGACTTACTAGACACTTGTTTAAAATAGAAATAGTGCTAGAATAGCAGAAGAAAAAATACTTCATCCAAAGTACTTCATCCTTATCTTTTGTCTGTAGCATTCAGGCTCCCAAATACCTCCAAAATTTAGTAGGAATTAAGTTATAAATCCAGTAGATCACTTCTAGAGTATATACCTGAAATGATGAAAATGCAAGTTAATATCTCAGCAAGGTATCTGTGAACTTACAAAACTGGTACCTCAAGAGTAACTGTTTTGTACTGTCTATACCCAGAAGCACAAGCATCAGTTTATACTCATTTCCTGTTCAGAAGGTAGAGCTCATGATCCCAAAGAAAAAATACCTTATAGCATATACAGAAAATGAACTCTGCAGAACACAGTTGAATCCCTATACATAGTCTGCAATTTAAACTCTTTGATTAAAAACCATTAGCCATTTTCTTAACATAAGCGACTGAAGAGACGAAAAAGTTATTTACCTAGATGTAAAAAGATTACCTATGAAATGACAAATCAGTGATACTGTCCATGAGTTTAGCAGTATGCAAAAAAAGCAAATACTTGCATATTTTAAACAATCTTCAGATTTTCTGGTGATCTTTTTTTTTTAAAAAAAAAACAGTCTGCAAATCTTATACACGTCACTGAATTTCCCATCCAGTTTTAATGGAAAACACAGTTTCTGCAAAGCTCTTTAAACACCTGTTAAAAGAATAAACTACTGGCGTAGTCTCAGGTTTTAGTGAAAAAGTAGATATCAAGTTTCAAGTCAACAATGTTATTTGTACTTCTTTTCTCTTACACCTAACATTCTTTCACTGATTTCCCTGATGGAGCCATCTCCCAACTATGCATTTCCCAGATGAACACCTGCATTACATCATAGAAAATGTAGTCTACCTGGGTAAACTAGTCTACATGAATGAAGCAACTAGGCACTCAAATGACGGCTTCTGCGTCGTATACTATCAAGTGCTGTTCATTGTTAAATTCAAGCAATATGAATAAGTGTTTTAAACTGCAAGCTGCTATGCAGGAGTCTTATATTCTCAGCCTGCTACTGAGGGTATTCAGCTTTTTTTTTTCAGGAAGGCCATTTGATTTAAGGAGTCAGTATGATCCCATAAATTGCTATGTTTTTTAATGAATCCTGAAAAATAAAAAGAATACTTGTCACTTCATGGTCTGCAGTAACTGCGAGCATTATGCACCGCACTACTTGCAAAAAAATTAACCGGTACAGATGGCAAACACCAGTCTTTTACAGACCTTTTTAACACTCGGGCAAACACAAGCGTTAGTAGCGTTCAGTTTACTCACCACGGGTCATGTCACGGAGCCCTTCATCTTGAGCTACCAGAGCGGTTCCAAGCCGGACCTGTGAAGTGAGTCGGCTGCGTGGAGCTCACACCAGGCTACAACCAGCCCACACACAAACACGTCCACAGCTCCCGCGCGACCAGCGAGCCAGCACACGTCGGACACCCCACGGGACGGGAGTCCACCCCGCTGCCCAGCGGCCGTAGATACCGTAGTGTCTCCAATAAACAGGAAATTTAGGTCGCATCTTACTGAGCTACCTCAAGGACTTGTTGCAGGAACACGTGGGTTCAGCCACCCCAAAACTTACCCCAGAAGACCAGCACCTCGACAGCAACAGCCTAGCTTCGCCCATTTCAGACCGCCTCTGAGGCAGGAGCCCAGGCCAGGCCACTCAACCCCACATGGAGCCGCCCATAAGTACCTTCTACCTGCCCTCCGAGGCGCCTCTGCTGCCTCCCAGCAGCCCTCAACTTCCGCGGAGCTCCGGTGAAAGGCGGGCGTCACTCTCTTCCCCCAGGAAAGGCTCTTGAGGCAGGCCAGCCCCCACCTTTCTGTGGACGAGAGTAGCTGCTTCAGCCGTTACTATACTTTTCAGCTGCAGGGCACAGTTCTAACCCACCCCCGCCGGTTTTCCCAGCGGAGGTGACCGGGTTGAGACCGCGACGGCCCCACCCCTGCATTCCATTCCTTCCATGACGTCAGAGAGGGGCGCCACCCGCCACGCTCCCCCTTCCCACCAGGCAGGAAAGGTGCTCTCAGACTTGCACGCGTGATGTCGGGGAAAAAGAAGGCGACCAACACATCAGTACAGGGTCTCTACTCCAGGGGCGCGCGCACCATCCCCCACTTACGCAGGAATTAAGTTTTCCTCGGGCCGTTCTATTTACGTTTATGGCGTCGATTTGCATAAGACTCCGCCCCCACCGTGGGCGAGCAGCCGGTACCGCCCCTTGTGGCCATGTAAAGGAAGACGGGGCGTGACCCAGGAGTGGCTCGCGGCCTTTCTGGTGCCGTTTATACGGTCTACCCACTTCCGCTATCCGCTTAGAAGCGGTGCTATCATGGCGGACCGTGGTCGACTCCCTTTCCCCGCTAAGCGCCTCTGCTGCAGACCTGGCTATGGCTCGGCCAGCAGGTCGGGCCAACGGGCGGGCGGCATTAGCCTCAGCAGCGGAGTGCTCTGCGCCGGACCCTCCTCTGCAACTGCTACTGTAGCTGCTGCCACTATGGGGCTGCTACCGCTCGGCAAGACCCAGAGCCCCGAGTCCCTGCTGGACATCGCGGCTCGCAAGGTGGCGGAGAAGTGGCCTTTCCAGCAGGTGGAAGAACGGTTCGAACGGATCCCAGAGCCGGTGCAACGCAGGATTGTCTACTGGTCTTTCCCCCGCAGCGAGAGGGAAATCTGCATGTACTCCTCCTTCAACACCGGCACTGAGGATCTTACCACCGCCCCCGGGGGGGCCGCCGGCGGTACCGCGCACGGTGGGGGCGCGGATACCGCCGCCGTCGACGAGAACCGCCTGCCCTTTCGCCGGGGCATCGTTCTGCTAGATGGCGGCTATGTCGATAATGTCCTGCAAGTCGGTGAGTTACCGGCCGGAACCGCGTTGCGGAACCGGGCCACGGCCACCTGGGTAGGGCGCTGCTGGTCTCCTCAGACGCGGGTCTGCCCCTGACGCGTCACCCACCTATTATCGGGGGAGCCGCCTCTTGCTACGCGGCCCAGCGGCCGGAGCCACCCCACTTTCTTGGTGTGTGCTACTCCCCCCCTCCTCCCGCTCTCCCCGCGGTGCGGCCTTTACTCTCAGGCTGTAATTCGGGCCGGGCAACTTCCTCTACCAGTCTCCTCCTCCTCAGATCCTGAACACGGATTAACTCCTTCGCTCTGCTCTGTGACGTATTCATGACGCCTGCCGCCAACGGCCGGCCCGGTCTCTGACAGGAGGGTTGGGCACGCTGCCCTTTGCCTGTCCCTTTAACTTTCCCGACGCGTTGTGCCTGCTCTATGTAACCCAGAGCGTGTAATCCCGTTTGGCTCTGCTTCCTTCTAGCTCCCCACATTTGGCAATCCGAGTCATCACCATACCCCGAGCCACAATAGCAAGGAGATGCCTCCGCTTCCCCCCCCTTCACAACCGCTGGTTGAAATGAATCAGCAGAAGGGGAACGACGGGGGAAGAGGGCGGGAGGCGCCTCGATCCAAAATTAAGAATTAAAAGAGGGTGTGGGCCCCCAGGAGTGGGTGTGTGGTGCGGGGAAAGCTGCAAACAAAGGCATTTTTAGGGCGGCGGCGAGCCAGAGCGTGGAGGCGCGATTTGCTCAGGCGTCACCACTGGGGGCAGCGGGGAAAGTGGATGTGACGGCGGGGAGATGCTGCAGCTTGGGCGCGGAGGGGCTCACGGATTACTTTAAGATGAGCCCCTGCGTGACAACGGCGAGGTGAGGAGAAAATTGTTGCTCTTTCTTCTTCTGGAGCAATACTTCCCTCCCCCCTTCCGCTGCTGTTCCCGCACGAAGCGACCGCCGCATTCCACTGTTTTTTCCCCTCTGCGAGCTGGTGCCCCTGGTTAATTCCTTTCTACCTCTGTTTAAAGGGCACCGGGGCACCGGAGGTTGGCACTTTCCACCCCTACGGGGCGGGGGGGGGGGGGGGGGGTTTGCCTTGCCATGTGTCTGTGTGTGTGAGTGAGAGCTACTACCCCCACCCGCAAGCAGGCCCCGTTGGGGGGGGGGGGGCGGGTGGCTCTGTGGGGAAGGGGTTTATGGCTTCCCCAGGAAACTTTCGCTGAGGGTGCTGCTCTTGCACTTTGTGCGGCCCGGACACATTACTGTACGCATCGCTATGCGCATTGCCGTGCGGTGGTGCCTCTCGCTGGAGGCGGCGACTGGACACTTTCTTCTCATTTTAACGTTTATGTTCTCATTGGTTCCCCTACCATGCTACCCCAGTGGTTAAAAGCAGCACTAAGCTTGTGCAAAACTGGTGGAGGAAAGAAGTGCATTGGAAGCCCTGTTGAACACTGCACAGTGTGAAGGAGTCCATTTTCAGGACAAAAATTACTTCCCTTTCTGGTAAAGAGACATTTAACGGAGTTTTATGCAAGCCTGTCTGGGATAGAATGCTTTGGCTTTCTCAACTGCTTGCACTGGGGGAGATTACAGCTTATCAACAAGGCTTGCTTTCAACAGTAGCCTTTTTTGATGTGGAAGGATTGATTTGGGTTGCTCACTTCCTAGAGTCCTCCTACAGGTCTGCCTAGAGGATTTTGGCTGTCAGACTCTTTTAAGATATGCATAAGTGAGAGACTGAGTCCTTAAGCTGTACATAGCATGGTACTTTACCTCTTGGTTGTCTCCTGCTAGAAAGGATCCTGCATGACCTCCAATACTAATTAAAGCATCTAGTTTCCTTCCTAACTTCTGCTGGTAGTCTTTATTGTACATCTTTATCTGGGCTTTTAAACTAAACACTTCACCTTCCTGAAATGAGGACATTTCTTAGTCTGTTGTCTTTCCTGCTCCATTGCTGTGAGTCTTCTAAAATTAAATGCCTCCTTTCTGTCAAATTATATTTTAGGCTGATCACAGGTGTTTAATGTGATACTTTTGTGAACTGACCATGATTTTATGCAAGCTAGGTTTAATAAAGTGCCAGCTTGAACTCTTGTCCCCTTAGTGAATGAAGAGCAGTCAGGTATATCAGTCCTTCAGGTTTTATACCAATTAATTTTTCATGTCTGTCTTCATTTTAACCCCTTCACTTCTACCTAAACTTCCTCTGCTATTTTGAAGGCATACAGTTGGAGAAACTGGCTGTTCAGAGCAGCATCCTGAGCTATATGCAGTTTTGTTGCTCACATGAAGCTAACAACTAGGGAAAAGAACAATCCCCATGAGTAATGCAAGAGATTCTTTAAACACAGTCAAATAAAACAAAAGCATTTTGTTTTGAAGCTTGGCTAAGCTATATTCAGTGTAAGAAGTACTATCCCAGGAAGGCTGAAGGGTAATAGGACCTGAGTAAGGGAAGAGGAGAGTAGCAGTACTTGTACACTTCTTTCATCTAAATGAAATTCTTAAATTATTTCATGTGCTATTGGTGGATGTATGTACTTTAATTATCATGCTTACACAAATACAAGATTGTGACACAGATTCAGGTTAGTCTAAAAAAAGTATTTACATTACATTTTATTTGTAACCAAGTATGTTTTGTCTTTAATCTGGGGAAGACTTTTTTTTTTTTTCCTGTGTCAAAAAGTCAAAAAGTATTTTTGTTGGAAAGGCATTTAAGAGCCTGGGTATTTTGCGTCCTACAGTTGAGTGAGCTTCCTCAAACCTGGCAAACAAAACACAGTGGGATTTATGGTTTTTAGTGGAACAGACAGCTCACAGTGGATGTTCTCATCGCAACTCTGGGGTTGAGTGAAAAACAGTCTATCACCATAAAACAGAACTTACCTAGTTCTTTGCTTACAAACTTGCTCACAAGTTCAGGATTTTGCAGAACTGGTTAAGGAATCCTGACTTTTACTTGCCATCCTTTCCAAAGTCCTCCAGAAGCATTATGAAAATACCTTCACACCAGCTTAAGGTAAGAATGCTGTCTCTGGGTGCATGGACAGAAGCTGCTTGCTGTAATTTCCTCTTTGGACCTTCATCTTTCACTTTCCCAAAAGACAGCAGGTAAAGTCCTATAGTTTCCTTTCCAGTCTCTGTTGGGAGACAATTTTGTTGTTGGAGCAATTTTTGTAGAGTGATGAATGTGCCACTAGCTGTGCCTTTGCATAGTTTTTGTTGCTGCAATAGGTGTGAAGTTATACAAAGTTGTTTGACCTAGTTGAGAAGTCTAAGACAACGCTCAGGTTTTTAATTTTGAAGATATGAGGAAGAGGTCATAGTCGGTTCAGATAACTACTACTATTATAATAGTTTTGTTTTATCCACTTTGGTGTTATTTGAATTCAGGTCAGTGAGTTCCTGTCAATTTCTGGTGGGTTAACCTTGGCTGGCTTCCAGGTATCCACCAAAGCCTCTCTATCACTCCCCTCAGCAGCTGGACAGGAGAGAGAAAATATAATGTAAGGTTCAAGGGCAGGGAGAGATCACTCACCAATTACTGTCACAGGCAAAACAGACTTGACTTGGGGATATTAGTTTAATTTATTACCAAACAAATCAGAGCAAGATAATGAAATATAAAAAACAAATCTTAAAATACCCTGAGACAAAGTTAAAATTTATCAGGGTAGAAATCCATTTGGATTTAGGTGAAATGTGCTGCTTTGAGCTTGCTAAATATGCTGTTTAGTCTGGTAACTGCAGCACTAGCAAAACTACCCCAGCTAAGGAGAAAAGAATGCAAATTTCCACACTAAAGAGATAAATAAGAAAGACTCCTTGGACCTTGAAACAGACAGGGCAGAGTGACCCAGGAGTTCTTTCTGTACTTTCTGACAAAAACTGAGTACAAGTGTAACTAGCTGTAAGTGTAACTCGAAATCAACAGAATGAATATGCATGAACCTATTGTGAAATTCTATGCATATGGAAATTAGTAAGGGTAATAAAAAAAGATTGGGAGTTCTCAGAAGTGTGCATGTCCATTGAAGGGCAATGAGTCCCCACATGCATCCATGTGAATAAACATGCTGTTCCCTACAAATCTTTATTAGAATTGTGGAATTTGATTTTTCATCCACGTTTCAACCCAACCCCACCAACCCCTTTTTCCCATGCTCATCTTCACTCCCAAGTTCTCTACCTATTTCTCCCAAGCAGCACAGGGGGATGGGGAATGGGAATTGTGGTCAGTTAACCACACATTGTCTCTGCTGCTCCTTTCTTCTCATGCTCTTTCCCTACTCCAGAGTGGGGTCCCTCCCATGTGAGACAATCCTTCGCAAACTTCTCCAGCATGGGTCTTTTCCATGGGGTGCAGTTCTTCAGGAATAGACTGTTCCAGTTTGGGTCCCCCATGGGTGTCACACAGGTCCTGCCAAGAGCCTGCTCCAGCATGGGCTCTCCCATGGAGTTGCAGGTTCCTTCAGGGCACATCCACCTGCTCTGACATGGGGCTGTCCATGGGCTGCAGAGTGGATCTCTGCTCCACCATGGGCTGCAGGGGGACATCCTGCCTAACCAGAGTCTTCATGGGCTGCCAGGGAATCTCTGTTCTAGAACCTGGAGCACCTCCTACCCCTCCTTCTCCACTGACCTTGGTGTCTGCAGAGTTGTTGCTCTCATATATTCACTCCTCTCTCCCAGCTGTTGTGCAGTAGTTTTTCCCCCTTCTTAAATATCACAGAAGTGATACCACCATTGCTGCTTGGCTTGGCTCTGGCCAGCAGTGGGTCTGTCTAGGAGCTGGTTGGCACTAGCTATGTTGAATATGGGTGAAGCTTCTGGCATCTTCTCACAGAAGCCACCCTTGTAACCCTCTCTTTTACCAAAACCTTGCCACAAAAATCCAAATACAGAGTTATGCTGTGCAGGTGGCAGATTTAGATCATCCAGCAGTATCTTTAAATGTATCCATCTTTAAAGATAAAATTGTGTGCAGACTAGATGTGACTCATGAAGTT